GCCCTGCCACCCTTCTCCTGTCCCTGCCCTGCCACCCTGCTCCTGCCCCAGCCCCCTGCCCTGCCAGCTCACACCCGGGGCAGGTGATTCCAGGGGTCCCAGGGCACAGGGGAGGGGGTGATATGTCCCTGAGCTGCCTGACCCCAGCCCTGCCATGTCCCCCTGTTCATGCACAGTCTGAGCTACCCCTAGGGGTGGGGACAGCCCCTGTGCCACGGGGATGGGGCTGGGGACAGCCTCCAGAAGGAAGGCTGACGGTGCTGTGAGCCAGCCCAGCGAGGCCGGGCAGCGTCCCCTGTTGGTGCCAGAGGCGCAGTGTCCCCGTGTGCCCCGTACCTCCGTCCAGGCTGCGGGACATGGTGTAGCGTTTGCTGGAGGAGCGCTCGAAGAAGGGCGCGGGCCGGTCGATGAGGGCGCTGGCCTGGCGCGTCTGCGCCTGCGTGCGCCCGCTGTACCGAAACTTGGAGCCCATCACCAGGAAACCCTTGGGGGGTGGCTCTGGGGACACCAGCCTGAGGGTCACAGGGGTGGGACGGTGTCAGCGAGCCCCAGTCAGGCCCCCTGGCACTGCTCCCCACGTGCAGCCACTGCAGCAGAAGCAGGAATGTGTCTGCCTCTGGGAAAAGAGGCCTGGAGAAGGCCTAGAGAAGGTGCCTCACCTGAAGAAGGTGTGATGCTCTATGCAGACCTTCCAGAGCCTCTTGGCTGAGCGGTGGTTGGGCAGCTTGAAGCCAATGGTGCTCTCAAACTGTTCGTACTAGGGGGAGACAGAGAGAGGCTGTTACAGACACATCCTGCCCCAGGGGACATGCCAGGACCTTGCCAAGGTCCTCAGGTTCTCCTGGCAGGAGCTGTGACCATGCAAAAGACCCTCAAAAATCTTCTTCAAATTCATGCTGGGATGGTCCATGCCCAGCACCATGCCCAGCAGAGTGATAGCCCCCACATCTCTGGGCTAAGCACTTTCTTCAGCTGTAAACAGCTTTTCAGTGCAAGAGAAATTCCCTCAAGAAACAAAAAGCTTTTACAGCTGTTTTGGTCTGAGGGCATCACTCCCAAGTGTGCTGTCCTTGCCCTCCAGTCTGCTGGAACAGATGGGCAGAAATGCATTTTCCCACCATAAATGAGTGGAAATAGTCTGAAAATAAATGAAAAAGCCTTGTGAAGATGTGACAAAAATGGCCCTTAACCCCCATTCCTGGGCAAGCTCCCTATACCAGCAGGGTCATGATCTCTGTCAGCAATGGGATCCTGGGGTCCCTCAGCTGTTGAAGTCACAAGAAAACATGAAAGAAAATCCATGCCACAGGAAATGTGCTCTCTTGGCCAGTATGGGATCCTTGGAGCATAGGCCAGAGCCAGGTGAGGAAATCCTCACCACCAGCTCCAATCCCTCAGGACAGGTACCCAGGGGCTGCACCAGCACCTGGCACCCACCTCCCCAGGGCGGATCTTGATGTAGAAGTTGCTCCTCTTGTAGGAAATCTTGAGGATCTTGGGCCAGGCGAAGCGGTTGATGCGCAGCCGGTCCCTGTAGATGAGGAGGCCGTTGGCACAGACGCCCAGCATGATGTCGATGCCCTCTGAGTCCTGCAGGAGACACGGTGACAGGAGGGGACAGGTCAGCAGCTTGGCAAGAACCAGCCTGGCCAGCAGTGCCACATCCCCCTGCAGAGTGCTGTGGGGACCTGGCTGGCAGAGGGAACAGTGACCCCCAGGCTGGTGGAGTCTGATCTCTGGAGCTTCTCTGGTGCCACCCAAAGCCACGCCAGGAGCTTTCTCTGAGGGAGGAAGGTGGGCAGGAGCAGGCTGGGAAGAGGCAGCACTCTGGCAGCCCCCAGCCCCGTACCTTGGCGTGGTGCAGGTCCACCCCGTACATGGAGAGCTTCTTGGCGTTCTCCAGGAAATGGATCTCTGCTTCCCCGGGGGTCATTCCCCTGCAGGGAGACACAGAGGGGGACACGTGGCTGGGTGGCCCAGGGCTGTGGGGCAGCCATCCTGTCCGTGCTGTCCCCTCCCGGGGCTCACCGGTAGGTCTTGTGCAGCTCCATGATGCGCTCCTCCAGCTCGCGCGTCTGGTTGGGGGCGAAGCGCAGCTCGCTGACGTAGTTGCCCACGTGCTCCTCGGTGTCGTGGTCCCCCAGCTCGGCCTGCACGGCGTAGGAGCCCAGCAGGGCGTGGGTGACAAAGGAGCAGGGCAGGCGGCCCGTGATGATGTCGGCACGGAGCTGCAGGCACAGGTAGTATCTGCAGGGGGGCAGGAGGTCAGAGCAGGGCAGGGCACCCAGGAACCAAGCTGGTGCCCCCAGGGCAGGCTGGGGCTCGCCAGGAAGGAGAATTGTGCACCCCACAGTGGCTGGGGCTCCCTGAGAAAGAATCTGGTGCTCTCTGGAGCAGGTTGGCACTCCCTGGGAAGGAGAATTGTGCACCCCACAGCAGCTGGGGCTCCCTGGGTAGGAATCTGGTGCCTCCAGGGCAGGCTGGGGCTCGCCAGGAAGGAGACTTGTGCATCCCACAGCAGGCTGGGGCTCCCTGGGAAGGAACCTGGTGCTCTCTGGAGCAGCTGGGGCTCCCTGGGAAGGAATCTGGTGCTCTCTGGAGCAGCTGGAGCTCCCTGGGAAGGAATCTGGTGCTCTCCTGGAGCAGGCTGGGGCTCCCTGGGAAGGAGGCCCTTTCTCCTCACCTGGTGATGTCCTCTGTGAGCTGGGCAGGGTCTGGAGGGTAGAACTTCACAGTGAAGGCAAAGTTCCAGGGCCCACCTGGGGAGGGGAGAGAGCAGTTCAGGACAGCACCCAAGGGGCTGCACACAGGGCACTGGAGCATCCGTGTGCCCACTGAGGATCCTGCTGCTCCCTCCAAGCCTTGCACAGGGCAGGGACAAGGGGGCTCCAGAGGCTGCCAGGGGCACAGACCTTGGGACTCCAGCACAGCTTTTGGGGAATCCTCCCCAGAGAGCTGGGGACAGCAAAGCATCACAACTGCAGGAGCCACAAGCTCAGTGGCCCTGCAAAAGCCTCCTGTGTCCCAGAAGGTGACACCTTGGGCAACAGCTCTTCTGCCATCCCAGCAAGGCAATACCTTGGCAAATGCACCCCAGGATCTGTCCCAGCACGGACCCCCACACTCCCCACCATCCCTGTTCCCCTTGCATGGGCCAGGTGGTGCCCAGGGTGGCACCAAGTGTCAGACAGCTCTCCAGTAGCAGAGTCCTTTGCCCCCTCGCCTCTCATGAGTAAGAGAAGAGGTGGGTAACAAACAGCTGAATGAGCAACAGTGTCCCTGTCCCCAGGCCAGAGGTCAAAGGGGAGGTGACGTGCCACAGGACAGCCACACTGAGCCATCCAGGAGCCCCATGGGACACCCCAGGGCTGAGGAGGATGGACCCTCCCCAGGCACTTACTGCGGATCTGCTTCTTGATCTCTTTGGAGGGGTCCAGCCAGTTCTGCAATGAGGAGACAGCAGGTCAGGGGGGTCCCAACCTTGGATGGGGGGCTGCAGGGGGACCCCCCCATGCTCACCTTCTGGCTGTCTGAATCGCAGAAGGTGAGGCCAAAGTAGTCCTTCTCCAGGAGGTTGAGGTGCTCGCACACCAAGTCAAAGAGCACCTGGCCTCGGGCGTGTTTCTGTCAGAGACATGGACAGGCTGATGTCAGCTGGTCCCTTGGGCTCCTGGACACCCTCCAGGTGACCATCAGAACACCCTCTCACCCAGTGTGGACTTCAGCACATCCCAGCCTTGCAGCCCCAGGATCACCTGTATGTCCCTAAAGTGGTGCCAAAGGGTGTCCCAGAGCTGCAGGAATGGGGCACCACTGTGGGGACACCCAGGTCCCAGAGCTGCAGGAATGGGCTCCTGGTGGCAGTGGTGGCTGGATCCCCAAGCACAGCATAACAAGAGCCACCAGGAGCATGTGGAGTGATGGCAAGCACCCTTGGTGCAGCCACTGCCAGGTGTGTGTCCCCTCTGTCCCACCCTGCCGCCACTGCCAGGTGCCCGAACTGCCAGGCAGAGCTCTATCCCCAGCCATTAAGCTTCTGACTTAGACACTCTTTTCTCTTATGAGTAGCTGCCAAATTTGGTTTCACTGGGCTGATATCCCCCGCGAGGGTCTTTCTTTCCAGACTTTTAATTAATTTTGAAATTTCAACTTCAATGGCTATTTCTGCGTGTGTTTTTCTCTAGGATAGAGGTACTACAAAGCTGTCCCAGGAAGAGTCCTGTCCTTCAGGACCCTCTGGACTGGGCAGGGTCCCAGCAGTGTCCCCTCCTTGGTGCCAGCACAGGCCCCCAAGTCTGGGACTCACCTCCACCTCGCACTCATATTCGGATGCATCAAGCAGGGTCACCCTGCACAGGGCACTCTTCACTTTCTTGGTGGTTTTCTGGGGTGACTTCTGGGTCTTGCTGGGAGTTGTTTTGTCAGAGAGCCCGTCGGTCTCGCTGTAGTCCTTGTCCTCCATGTCTGTGCCCTGGAGCAGGGACACACAGAGGGTTACCTTACCTGGCAGCCCTGCCGAGGGACACAGGGGCAGAGGGGGAAGGCTCTGCACAGCAGAGAGGGGCAGCTGCTGATGGACAGTGCCCAGCCAAGGCCAGTTCCACCAACCCACAGTGCCAGCACAGCCCAGCTCCCTGGAAAACGGACACCGGGGGT